GGACGCAGGGCTTGCAGAGTCCAGTCAACAATCGAGAAGGTCCAGAGAGGATAATTCTTGACCGGACGCGTCAGGTGGACACTGACCGGACGTTGACCAGTGTCAGGTCACTCTAACGGTCAAGTCTGACAACTGACGTGTTCGTGGCCGTTGGCCACTGACCGACGCGTCCGGTCACTACGTAAATGTGCTGAGTTGGACAGTAATAGTTATGTTTTAAAGTGGAGAGTATAAATACTTCTCCCACTCGTCCAGCTTAGCTCTCTTGCCCATTTGTTCAGCTGAGAAACACTTTTGGAGTGCAAGAGAGAGCAAGAGCCTAGTGGGGTGATTGAGATTTGAGAATTCAAGATTAAGGACCTTATTAGTGCATAGGGAGTAGCAAGTGTGCATCCACATTTCTCATTAGGCTTGTCTTGGTCAAGTGAGAGTTTGTGCTTGTTACTCTTGGTGATCGCAATTACCTAAATGGCTCGGTGGTGATTGGAAGCTTGGTGATCATCCGGAGGAGCTTGTGGATGACTCAAGTCATAGTGTGAGTGGTTGTGGGCGATTCTCCGCGACGGAGTGTCAAAGAATCAGCCCGTAGAGAGCACTTGATCCTTGCGCGGATCAAGGAGGAGCTACACCCTTGCGCGGGTGCTCCAACGAGGACTAGTGGGGAGTGTTAACTCTCCGATACCTCGGAAAAACATCGCCGTGTTCCTATTCTTCTCTTTACTTTGAGCATTTATATTTGAGCAATTTAATTTATGTCTTTACATTATTAGAATTGTCACACTAGAGTAGGATTAGAATCTAGGGTGTAAAACTCTCATGCGGTAGAATAATAGAAACACTTCTAAGGACAATGGGGTGAAATGGGCTAAGTGTAGGACTTAATTATTGTAAAAAAATTAAAATTAGTCCAATTCATCTCTCTTTTGGGTATCTTGATTCTTTCAACATGGAATGAATCCGACCACATCCAAATAACACCTTAACGTGGTTACAATAATATCTCACGGATGCTCTCTCTTTTTTATCAGCTGGAACTGGAATCGTTGCAATATAGTGATTACAGTAATCTATTGATCCATATATATCAACTTACAAAGTTCAGTACGAAATTAAGCGAAAGATAATAAACATCATCAAAGTTGAATCAGGAGACATATGCATGTACATATACATAATATAAAGAGCAATTTTGGCTGAGGGACTTATTAGATAGACAGGCTTATATATCATCAATCAATCATCATATACTATTAACTCCTACAATGATTCGAGACGGCGTCTGATCTCGATGTGTTACTTATGCATGCATCCGCATGCATGCTTGCAGCTGGCCATCGCCTCTTTCCATGGTCGCCCCTGGTAGTGAGTGAGTGACTGGTGCCCAAAGTCTTGAGCCCCTTTGTTTGATTATTATTCCTCGGAAGCGAAAATGAACCGGACGACGGGACGAGAATAAACGAGGGGGAACTCCTTTGTGTACAGCACCGTGCGCGGCCATCGTGATGAAGGGAAAACCGGCCGATGCTCTAGACGGAGAGGTAGGACGGCGGCATTGGCAGGCCGACGACCTTGCCGCAGCGGAGGCTGGTCTCTGGCATGTTGTACTCGTCCCTAAGCGACCGCTCCGGCGAGGTGACGCTCACGTACAGCTGCTCGCCGAGGTAATTCCTCTCCCAGATGTTGGACCGGATACTCCACATGCCCGCGTTGTCGAACGTCATCATCACCGCCGTCCACGACCTCGGGTACACCTGGATCGTGTGCCGGCTCACCGTATCCAGGAGGTTGTACGTACTCCGAGACGCTGGCGTCCATTTGCCCGGCCCCATGCTGCACATTGCACACGGATGGAGGTCAGATCGTCGAGCGATACCAATCAAACACACTCACACTCACACTCACACTCACAAAAACCTTAGCTTCATCATATGGATTTACCCGACTGCGAAAAATGCGTAGCCGTCGATGTGGATGGTGTCGATGCTCTTCTCGGGGTTCTCGAAGACTACCTCGATGAAGGTGCGGAACTCGGCGCGGATGACGTTGGGAGCCATCTTGGTGGGCGCGGACTTGGCGGGCGGCACGTCGCCGATGAGGTCGTACTGGAACACCCCGTCGGTGGCGTTGAAGTACTCGGCGAGCTTCACGGGGGTCTCGGGGTCCACGTGCGACACGCCGTTAAAGCCGAACCGCTCCTTGCCGTCCACCTTGCCGCGGCCCATGCCGAGCTTGATGGTGCGGGTGATGTTGATCTGGCCGTAGTGGTACGACCCCTGCGGGTTGGGCCGCGCCGCGCTCGCCGTCAGGTTCCAGCGGAAGGACCTGGCCTGGTTGATGGACCACGCCCACCCGCTGGGGCTCTCCGGCAGCTTGGCGGGGGGCGGGGCGCTGGACCCCTTGTAGCGGATCGCGGCCGTGGTGCTGCTCACCTCCTTGATGAACCGGGTGGACGCCACCAGCAGGTAGTCGCCGGGCTTCTGGTCGGCGGTGACCAGGAACGACAGGCACTGCCCGATGTGGAGGTCCAGGGAGTCGTAGTCGTTCTGCATGGTGTGGGAGCCCTCCATCTCCACCAGCTTCATGATGTGGTTCTGGATGCGGATGTTGAAGGACGCCTTGATGCCCACGTTGCAGACGCGGAACCGGTACGTCTTGCCGGCCTCCACGTTGTACATGGGAGGGTTCGACGCGTCCTTCTCGTTCTTGCCGTTGATGACGAGACCCGAGGGGCGGCCGATCCCCTTGCCGGCGTCCAGGTTCTTGGCCAGGACGGCGTGGTCCTTGGTGTACCAGTCGCCGACCAGGACCGGGAAGTCGTCGGCCGGCGTGTCGAAGGGGACCGGGATCAGGTCACGGCTGTGGACGCTGATGAGCCCGTAGGCGCCCGCCGCCCGCTGCATGCCGGTGCTGGGGTAATAGAAGAAGCTGCCGATCTGGTCCTTGGGCTGCCAGTGGTACGTGAAATTGGTGTTGGGCTGGATCGGGCACATGGTGCCCGGCATGCCGTCCTGCCACGAGTTCTTCCTCTGCTGGATGCCGTGCCTGCACGCCGAAGCACATACATGCATATAGATACACACACGTAGCAGACAGAGCAATCAATCAAAATCCTCCATCGGCATTATAAGCCATTAATCATCAAAATCCTGACCTGATCATGCATGCACGCATCGATGGATCACTTACCAGGTGAAGAGGAGCGGCTGGTCGAGCATGTTGAAGACATTGATGACGATGTTGTTGTTGGATGTGCAGTTGATGGTAGGCCCGGGGAACAAGTCGTTGATGAGGATCACCTTCTGCGGCGTCCCCATGATGGTCCTCGTCCCGTACGTCACCTTCCACTCGAAGAAGTGGTAGGGGTCCTCCGCGCGCGCCACGGCGGCGACGAGCGCCAGCACGAGCAGCGCGGCGGAGGCGCCTCGCATTGCCATCCTCCCAGCCGACCACACCATCCCTCGCGGGGGCCCTCGATCGCCTATGCGCGCCCTGTGTGTCGGTGTGAGAGCCGCCGCGCGCAGCAGACGGTCAGGTGGTGGATGCTGTCGATCCGGCCGGTGGCGGGGTCGGGCACAGCGAGTGGGGACAGGCAGCCGGGAGGCCACGCCTTATATGGGTCCGTCGCCCGTTGCAAGGAGCGGTGCGCGCGCTGTCCGTGGCGCGGTGGTTTGCCCACAAACGGCAAATGTATGCCCCTCCCGTCTTGCCCGCGCGTCCGTTAGCCCAGCCACCGCCGATCTGGCTGCCTCCGCCCCTTCTTCTGTCTATTCTTGACCTGTTCTTGCATGACATGCACCATGAGTCGGTCGATGCGGTGTGGTCGTGTAATCGTGTTGTACTGTTGCCTGTTGGTCGTCAATCGACATGCGCTCACTCACTCATGTGTTTGGGCACGTGGCGTCTGTAAGTCCGGGTCTGGCCGAGGCCGTGGAGTGAAACGACACGTTCACGGGCCGCCCAGCATTGAGAATTGAGAGTTTCGGCCTGTTTATTAGAGGAACGGGATAATAACAGAAGGAAAAAGTTCACATTATTTTTCTCAACTTTCGCGAAAGTTCACTTTTTCTTTCTGAACTTCAAAATCAGGCAAAACATCTCCCTCAACTTTAAAAACTGTTCATCTTACCTCCCTGGCCCTGTTATAAGCAGTTTTGAAGGCGGTTTTGTCTTTTTCTTTTTTATTTATTTCGGCTGAATCTTTGAAAAATCATAGTAAATCATAAAAAATCATAAAATAAAAATTCTAATTTTGTTGGACTCCACATGAATAGATCTACACAGTGAACATATAATATGGTATACTTTAATACAAAGTTTTTATTGTGGCTTTAGATCTATGCTTTTATGTAATTAATTAGAAAAATTCATATCTGTAGTTTCTATGGTCCAATTGTGATGAAATTTTTATGGTGAGCTAATTATTGTATGATTGAACTGTAGCAAAAATTTCATACTCATTCGATCATGTATAGCTTAGTTATAGATTTATTTATATTTAACAAGTATAAACCTAAATAAAATATATAACTAAGTTATACATGATCCAATAAAATCTATAACTAAATTTCATACTCTCTCTCCGTCTCGCGCTAATTAAATTAAACCCCCGCACTAACTCGCCAGCCGTTTTGAGTTCGAGTGCCCCCGCCCCCGCAAACGGCGATTGGGTCTTGCGTTTCTGCTAACTACTAGTAAATGCCGGGTTTCAGAGGCTTCGATCGATGCGTTTGCTACATAATAATTCCGCTAGAGATGATTTCATGTCCACATTGGGTACTGTTAATCTAATTATGGTTGTGGAAAATTCTGTGTAATATAGCAGCTCGCAATCCTTGGGAAAATTTTGCACAATACATGTATCAAGTAAACTAGCGTGTGATACAATACAACCGAATGATCAGGTAAAGGAAAACACTGCAAACTGAGCAGTTCCCCCACGGTTCGCTGTGTTTAAGTTCTGGGCGGGGTGGTTCTTCTGCTATGCTGCTGCTGCTGCTGTTCTAGTGGGCCGTGACCACCTCTCCACTGTGCGGGTGCGAGGTGGAGGCGGTCCCCACGTGCTCAAACTCCACGGTGGATGAGCTGCCCGAGCTCAGCCCCTCGCTGTGCAGCATCGTCTCAATCTCCTTCACCACAGAGTTCATGGTGGGCCGCCGTGAGGCTGATTCGTCAACGCACTCCATGGCCAGCTGCACGAACCTCCTAAACCGCGCAGTATGTGCGGCATCGTGGATGGCTGGATCCACGATGCCTTGCAGGCCATAGTAGTCGTGGTCATTGGGGTTTATGGCCATCCTGAATTCCCGGACGATATATCTTCCATTTGATATAGGCAGCCTGCCACTCAGTATCTCTAGCATGACGACACCGAAGCTGTACACGTCGCTCTTCTCTGAGAGCTGTTGTGTCATGTAATACTCTGGGTCCAAATAGCCCTGTGACATGAAATTGACCGTCAAGGACAAGAGTAACTTAACCAAAGGAAAGGATTTATAATAATTGATGAAGTACTGTGGCCGAAGAACCTACCAATGTTCCTTTGACTTGAGTGGAAATGTGGCCTTTTTCAGTGTCTGCAACTAACTTTGACAGACCAAAATCAGCAACTTTTGGTTTAAAGTTTTCATCCAAAAGGATATTTGTGGACTTGACATCTCTGTGAATAATAGGTGGATCGGCGAGCTCATGAAGATATGCTAGTCCTCTTGCCGATCCTAGAGCAATCCTGAGCCTCTTCTTCCAATCCAGGTAAATTCCTCTAGCTACATAACAAATATATTTCTTATAAAATAGGAAAGGTACAGGGAAGAATGTAACACTTTAGGATTTGCTACTAGGTTTTATGTACATACCTTGTAAATTCTGTCTTAATGTCCCATTGGAGACATATTCATATACCAGCATCTGCTCCCCTTGTTCATAGCAAAATCCTGTCAGACTTACCAGGTTCTTGTGGTGGACTCTGGATAGCAACTCAATCTCATTTTTGAACTCCACTGCACCTTGCTTTGATCCATACTCTGCTCGTTTTATTGCCACATTTGTTCCATCTACCAGTACTGCCTTGTAAACCTTTCACATGTGAAGATGAATCCCTACATTAGCTGTCCGTGTAAAATCCCTTAAAAGGAACTCCTATAATGCAGAGGCTGGGATAATGTTTTTATTCCATCATATATTTTGTATAAATAGCAGTTTACCTTTCCATAACTTCCTGATCCTATTTCATTGTTCTCTGCGAAATTGTTGGTGCAGGTCTTCAGTTCATCAAAGGAAAAGAACCTTGCTCCTTTCAGCTGTGGAGCACCTCCACTGTCTTTTTTAGCGATTCCCCATGAAGCTAAAATTTGAATATGCATGAGGTAAATAATCAGCGAAGTTTTATCGAACTACAGTGCTTTTGTTCTTTTCTCTGCGTTATTACTGCTTACACGCATTTGATTTGATTAATATATTTTTGTAGTTAGACACATTTTCTGTTACAATTGTAAGCTTTGAAAGGCTGGGTATTTAACAAATAGGATTCGAAAATTGGATGTTGGTTTGGCATGCTGGCCTAGTTCGTATACATAGCTGTGTCAATTCTGTTGTATATTTTTATCATATCTCTAAATTATAGCCTATCAGGCTACCATTTAGTTAACTAGCTTGAATCCTGCTTAATTACACCACTAGATAATCTCGTAACATGATAACATTGATATTCTTGTATGAAGTAAAATTGTATTTTTTCTACAATCTAGCACCAATAAGCTGTATTTGTTATACATCTGGAAGTCTGTAACAGCTCTAGCAAACCATTGGTACTCTATACTGTTACAATCCATTCTCTTCAAATAAATGGCACATATGTTTCCCATTTTCGCTTCATCAATGAGAGGTTATGTAGACTTTTTATCTGGTTTTATTAGTTTTATCGGTGTGTCTTTCTCACTGGTTTTCTATAGATGTGTATAGATTTACTACAAAATAAAGAACTTTATTAAATGGTGCAACCATGGAAAACACATTCTGATAATTTAATGTTTTTCTTCTTAAAGAAATATTTGGTAGCTTTAAGAGCTATACAGTTGTCAGCCATATTATTTGGAATCTCACCGAAAGGATTTGTTCGTCCTGATAATTCCCTAGTTCTTCTCTTTTTGTAATAAAGAAAATATTGCCCCAGAAGTTACAGCAATCAGAATAAGACCACATGCTACTGCAATTCCAGCGATAGCACCTGTGCTTACTTGCGATTTTCCACCGTCAGCTGCTCCTGAGACAAGATAACCTAATGTATTTCATGCATAATTACTTGCATACAGACATAATTTTACATGATTAGATTTGATTATTTTAATACCTGCAAAGTGGACATATGGATCTGCAACAAAGTAATAAGGTCCAAAACCTTGTGGTGGCTTGTAATTTTGATTGCTAAGATCAGAGCCTATCCTCGTTACTTCTGACAAGTTAAAGGATGTTCCGATCGATGGAAATAGTCTGACTTGAACTTGGAGGTAATTATCACTGGTGAAGTGGATATCAGAAAGGAAAACTGAACCAGGTTGCAGTCCCAGCTCTGTTGAGAGGCTAGCTTCCAGTAGCTGAAAGTGCTCATTGTTTCTCAAGTCTGCAAACAATGGTGACCTGAAGAAAATCATACCCATGTAGGGATAGGCACAGCCACAGTTCGCAGGGTCTAGACTTTGATCACTGGAACAAGAAGTTGAACCACAATGGGTTACACTAGTAGTGTATGATGTAGCGCTATCTTGCTGGATACTGCAAAAGCGGCTACTGGAGAAATCAGGATCCAAGCACACAGGATTTCCCACAAGTCTGCCGATAGAGGAAGAGGCAATTCTAGTGAGTAAATGGAGACTAGAAGCAGCATGTCATCTTTGGTTTTGAAGCATGCAAGTACTCACACTAGTGTTCTGTTGTAGCTTTGTGTTATATTGGCTGCAACTATACGATTGTTTAGCAAATTGACTTGCTGCAGTTGTTGAGTGATGTTGCCAGTCATGTCAAGTGTCCCGTTGAAGGCATTATTGCTTAGAATACTGTCTGATCAGTGACAAAAATAAGCAAACATGTGAAACTTCGCTAGTTATTAAAATTTATCTTCTTGTATGTTTCCAGAAAATTACACTTGCTGCAGTCTGGGCAAGGTAAAGATCCTGTTGGGAATCTGACCATGCAGTCCTCCAGAAGCTATTGCTCTGCATGTTAGGATTTTACAAGGTGACATTGTTTCACTAAATGAGAAAATATAGTGCAGTGAGACTTGTAGTGCATGTCTTAAACAACTCACACTGAAGCAAGTGTTTCCAGTGTCAGCATCCAGGTTGGTATGGCAGACGGATCAAATGAATTGTTGCTTAAATCGCTGGGTGTGAAAAGAAAATTCATTAGTACTTGGCACCATGTTTATATCTGATGACAGTGCAGAATAGAAGACAAGGGCGATATCTTACACCACATTAAGTTTTGTCAGGGTACTGAGATCTGGCATTGTTCCATGCAGCTGGTTGTCTGCAAAATTCCTACAGAAGATAGTTATTCAAACGAAATACACTGGAAACTCTTAACTTGCGCAAATGTGTTAGTCATTTGACCGGGAGGTCAAAAATGATACAGCACTTACAGTACATTTAGGTCAACTAGGTTGCTGATATTGGTTGGAACTGCTCCTGTGAATTTATTATTGTCTAATCGGCTGATGAAGATGCAAAGAAGTCAACATTAATGCTGAGAATATGGTTGGAATAAAGAAAAATGCCAAGATACTCACAGAATCTGGAGGGTAGTGATGCTACCAAGTTCAGCAGGGATAGGACCAGTCAATTGGTTGTTGTCAAATAATCTTACGAAGACAAACAAAGTGGTCAGTACAATACTTTAATGTGTAAGCATTGCTAGCATTAGAAATTAGTGCTGCCTTACATATGTTCGAGTCTCATGCTAGGGCTGAAGAGGCCGTCGAGATTACCAGTTAATTGGTTTCTACTGAAATGGCTGTTAATTGATCGGAACAGAGTATCAGCATGGTAGGAGCATGAGTAAAAGCATGCATACTGATCATCCGTTCTTGATTTATGGGAGATAAGAAATGTTAGAGGATCTTACAAATGTTTGGTGTCTGTAAGTAGGTCAAGTCCTGGAGAAGTGGTTGATGAAATCGGAACAGGACCAGAAAGTTGATTTTCTGACAAGTCTAGCCAGAAGAGGTTTTTGAGTAGGCCAATTGAAGCAGGAATTCTGCCTGTAAATCTGTTTGAATTCATTGCCCTGCAGAGTATATTTCATTGCTAGTTCATTTCATCAGTATAGGCAAAGCAGCAGCAGAGAGGTAACAAGAACACTGAGTTGGGATTAAGATTTTCTGTCAGTGTAATAATTCTTACAAGAATGAGAGCTGCACCAAGTTTCCTAATTCTTCGGGGATGCCTCCTGTGAAGCTGCAGCCAGCCAAGATTCTGAAGATCACAACGCATTAGGTAAGCTTCATTGATGCATTATGATATATAAGAATTTGCCCTTAGGGTCAGGACATACAGTGTTGTGAGCTGCCTGAGGTTGCCAATCGAAGTGGGTAGTGGGCCACTAAGACCACTGTTGGACGAAAGGTCCCTGCATGCACCATAACATATGAGTGAATATGATGTCTTTTTTCCCCTCAAACACGCAAGAGAGTTATGTATCATTTCTTTAAGAGAGAAGATTACACAAGAGGGACATAGCCCCCCAAAAACACACCCAAAACTCACATAAACACACCCACACCACAATCAGGAGAAAACAAGACACAAATGGCCCTTTTCAACAGTGGGCAACCATCAAACTACCAGGACCAGGGGTATTATCCCCAGAAAACGACCTGGCAGCAGCTCCTGGAATGCCTTTGCTAGTTGCTACAGCAGAGCAGCACAAGATGTTCATCTGGACTGTCTGCAGCACAGCCCTGACACTCGGACTTGCGCCATTAAAAGCTGTAATTGTTCTGATGTTTCCAGATTTCCTAAACCACTAGAATGATAGAATGATGTTTCCAGATTTCCTTCAACAGTTGAACCTGGTCGTTGTTGCGCCCTCACCTACGGCCTCGAATTTCTCTGGCTGGTGGAAGTCGGCCATCAGAAGGGTGCCTATGGAGATGAGGAATGGGCTGAATTCCCTCATCATCCTAGTTTCTTGGGAAGTCTGGAAGCATCGGAACTCCTGTGTGTTTGAAGGAACCTCACCAAACATTCAAGTGCTGTTGCAGTCTGTAGGGGATGAATGTAGTCTTTGGTGCATGGCGGGAGCTTCAAAGCTTAGCGGTCTCTTGGCGAGGTCGCTGACCCCGGGTAGTTAGTCTCCAGTGTGGTCAGGTGGTCGTATTTTTTCTTCTTCTGGCAAAGGCATAGTCTAATTTTCTGTGTGTATTGGGGACCTCATGTCCGGGTTCTTTCTAAACTCTGGCTCGTTGCATCTTTTTTCTATCTTAATGAAATGACATGCAGCTCTCCTGCGTAGTTGGAGAAAAAAAGATAAGTGAATTGAGCCCCTTTATAGTCTCTTTCTCCACTTCCTTGACTGCCCAGTACCACCAGCTTGAAAATTTGCTAGTGAAAGTTGGAGGGATGGAGTTCAGTCCCAAGCTCTGGAGTATTATAAATGAGACCTCCTGTGTAGGAGATCAGCAAATGTTGAATTGAATATGATGTCTTATGGAGGTAAATTAGGAAGTTCCTTTTCTATGGTGCACATCAATTGAAAGTTTGAAACCTGGAGGTTGTTGACACTGTAAGCTGAAATCCACTCCGTTAGTTTTAACTATTTAGTGCACACATGAAAGCCATATTACACAGTTGAATTAGGAAACTCGTCCATAAACTCTAGACATTTGCATAGGATATTCGGATAGAAGTGCAGCAGCAACCATTTTCTTGAATGTTTTTAACATGTATTGAATACTGGGCTTGGCTGGAAGGGATTAACTTGCAATTTCCACCCCATATCTGGGAGCCAAAATCTTTCAGTATATAGCTTAAATTTGAAGTCATGCTTTCTAGTAAATAGTAATAACTACAAGATTCCAGACTTTCAAAACTACTTTTCAATACATGGAAACAAAGTAATCATTCAGTCAAATTCTGAGCAGACTCTTCTGATATGTCTATCAATTGGAACCAGAAAAATACGGTGCCAATGATAATTTATAAACTTTAAATATAGATTCTAGATTTTCAAAACTACTTTTCAATACATGGAAATAAAGTAATTATGCAGTCAAATGCTGAGCAGACTCTTCTGATATGTCTATCAATTAGAACCAGAAAAATACAGTGCTAAAGATAGTTTATAAACTTTAATTATCTATGCAAAATGACTCACAGGTAAGCAAGCTCGCTGAGCTGGCCTATACTGTTGCTTAATGTGCCTTGAAGATTGATGCTTGATAACCTCCTGGAAACATGGATTTTTAATTCAATGGACGGAAAGTTAAAGTAAAACTAGTAAAACATTATTAGTTGATACCCACATTGATATGACTCGCCCATTGTTGCACATAATGCCATCCCATTGTGCACCACAGGGATCATTTGATGCTTCCCAACTTGATGGGAAGTTCTGCCACACTTTAATTAGAGACTGAAGTGCAGCCACTGTCAATTGGTATCTGTGTTATTATCAATTGAGCAATTTACATAACACTGAATTGAGTTACTTTCTCATTTGCGTGGTTTGATAGTTGATACTGCCATCTCTTTTATTGCTAGCTGCTCTTTATTTGCTAACTCACAATATAAATTAGGAAAAGTCACCAACTTGAGAAATAAAGAAGAATGATACTTTTTGTTTCATTTGATATGGTGCTTATCATAGCAATATTTCATTGGATATTACATACTTCAAGATAAAGGCATGCTAAAACATGAAACATTTTTTTCTTTGGAGAGAACAAGATTGTTTCTGAAAACTAAGTGTGGCATATAAAAGGTTTCTCATCTAGCAAATCTGTGTGTTTTGTCAGACTTCAAGATGCTTAAGCTATAACTTTGCAAGCCTAGTCTAAGTAAGAATAGAAAGTTTCAGAGACCAAGGTTGTATAGTTACCATCTTGGGGATTTGTATCACAGAATAGTGCAGGAAGACTGGCCAAAATCATGAATATCAGTAGAAGGATGGACAGTGCCTTCATTTTGAGAGCGACAAACACACTGAACCTCAGGGTTCCACAAAGCTGTTGTGAATGCTTTAAGGAGTGGAGCTTTCTAAGGTTTACAATCTACACTTGCTTGCATATTCCTCATGAGACTTGCACCAGCTGCAAATTTAGTGATAAACTAGAGAGTAAGCCAAGGAAATGGAAAGGCGTGTAAAACAACAGAGTTGCATAAGGATTACCGACTCTTCCATGGATCCCTGAATGACCTGTTGTCTGAGGACTCTCCCAGGTATAGGTCTTTGGTGGCTTGGTGCAAGTCACAATGCTGTCAACATGTTTCTTTAAACTTTTGAACATGGATGTGTTTGTGACAACTGGTGTCTGTTTTGTTATTTAAATTTGTGTAGCCTGCTCATGCTTACAGGTTGTAACTTAATGTGGCTGGGATACAGTATTTTTTTGTCATTTCATCATACTTTTGCTTTTGCATGTCATGTAGTTGATATTATTCTTTTCATTGATCCAGTGTATGATGAGGTGGACTGAAATAACGATGTCAATGCTTTGGAAGCTCTGATAACGACATAGTTACTTCCATTGTTTCTGCAGGGTACTTTCTTGTTTTGCCCACGTCTTAAATTCAAGTTTGTTTATTGATATTTTTGGTTTCATTAGCTTCTGAGTATTCATATCTTTGAATTATCCCGTTCTCCCAACTGGCTGCAGATGGGACTCAATTAGTGCAGTGAACATTTTTCATAGCACTTGTCCCTGCTACTTCTAAAGAAGTGCAGCAGACATGCATTACAGTCGTAATGACTGAGTTATCTTCATTACTGTTAATTAATATAACCAAAACAAAGATATTTCAACACACATGGGCAATGCCTCTACTAAATCATTTGTTTGTCAACAAAGGGCAAACATCAGTTATAATATTGTCCCTCATCAGTCCTTTGTACTCACATATTGGCATCCACTGACAAGAACTTCATGGCCATGGCCTCTCTCCGATATTGTCTTGGACTAGTTCTTGATCCAACTGGCCAATCTGACATAAACTTGTCAAGAAATGGTAGCTAGTTTGTAATTTATAACCATATGGAATGGTGCTGCCTTCAATCTTGATGTAGGATTGTTTGCAGAACTAATGGACTTACATCTGATAACTATATGAAATTACAAATGCATCGGGAGAAACAGTTCATATCACATAATAATGTTTATCTTGGCATGTAGAAAAGAGATATTTGTTTTCAGACATTTTTTTTATGTTGTAAGTGTAAAGGAGTACAGGGGCATGAATGGTTTTATCGATAGACCAGACATTCACTGCTGTTTCATCTTAAGCAAGTCATTTTGCCATTGTATTTCTGAAATATTCATTCATTGATTTATCAACAGAAAAAAATTAATGTCGTACAATTCATCCCTCAACAAAAACAAAGAGCGGAGACTGTTATCTACTTTGGTTGAACAGCTGAGTATGAATACACACTGTTGTAGTCAAAAGTGTTGCTGCTGCTTTCATCATTCATAGGCAAATGTTCTGCATAAGGATCTCGACTCTTTTCGTTTCCAAATTGTTCAACTGATAAAGACGCTGAGTTTAACAATTGTGCCCCTTCATTCTGTATGATGATCTCAAGTTCCTTCACCACATCATTCATTGTTGGGCGGTCAACAGCAGACTCTTCCACACATTCCATAGCCAACTGTATAAATCTCCTGAAGCCAATTAATTTAGCTGAATCCCGGATTTTTGGATCGATTAGGCCCTTCAAGCCATAGTATTCTTGATCATATTGATCTATTGCTGTCCTGATCTCACGGACAATATACCTGCCTTTCTCTATGGGCTGGCTGGCAGTTATTAGTTCTAGCAGGACAACTCCAAAGCTGTAGACATCACTCTTTTCAGAGAGCTGTTGCGTCATGTAATATTCAGGATCCAAATAGCCCTAGCAACAATGCAAAAAGAGGAATCAGCAAAAGTGTTTCTTAGGTGAACAGACACCAAAGAATATCCAAAATACATACCAATGTTCCCTTTACTTGGGTAGAAACATGGCCCTTTTGTGTGTCAGACACAAGTTTTGAAAGACCAAAATCAGCAACCTTAGCATTGAGACTTTCATCCAAAAGGATATTGGTTGATTTGATATCTCTGTGTATGATTGGTGGATCAGCAAGTTCATGGAGGTATGCTAGACCTTTTGCTGAGCCAATGGCAATCCTGAGGCGGTTCTTCCAATCTAAGTTCACTCCTCTTTTACCTGCAATCAAGTCATGGTTAGGTCCTATGTTCTTGTGTAGGCATATGTACTAGTTAAGTAAATTACCCATCAAGTTCTCCCTTAATGTCCCATAAGGAATATATTCATAAACCAACATCTGTTCCCCTTGTTCGTAGCAGAAACCCACTAGGCTCACTAGGTTCTTGTGATGAACCCTGGACAGCAGTTCTATCTCATTCTTGAATTCAGCTGCACCTTGCATGGATCCTTGCTGCGCGCGTTTTATTGCAGCTATTTGCCCGTTTGCTAGTGTTCCTTTGTACACCTTTTATAACAGAGTAAAATATAATGTTAGATGCTTTCGCAAACACATGTGTCTAGCTGTGAACAGGCCAACACGGCAACTGAATTACCTTCCCATATCCTCCGGATCCTATCTCATGAGTTTCTGAGAAATTATTGGTGCATTTTTTCAGTTCCTCGAATGAAAAGTATCTTGCACCCTTCAGTTGTGGTGCATCTCCGTTGTCTGTCCCACCAGCTCCCCATGATGCTGTGGTAACAACGCATTAACAAGAATGAATCTGGAGACATATCATTATGCTTCTAAGTACAGTTATCTTCCTAGTCTTTAATCTTTGGTACACATAGAATTAAAGGGTACCCTCGAATTAAATATAGTAGCTAGCTCAAAATGGATACAAGTGCATGCACATATATACCACATCTTCTATTGGACTGAAGTTAGCTGTGAAATAACACATTACCGAAAGGATTTGTAGTTCGCTCTACTGCCTCCTTGGCTATTCTTTTCTGTCGTAGAGCATATATTGCTACCACAATAAGGCCAAGAATAAGGACAACACCCGCGATTGCTATTCCAATTATTGCTGCCTTGCCCATTGAGGACTTTTTATTGCTGGGAGCTGAAATGGACGATTAGCAATTCAAGATACGTCAGACAAAGATGGTACACACCTTGTGGAATGGTACTGTTTACATACCTGGAAAGTATGTGCTCGCTATGAAGCTGTATGGTCCAAAATTAGTTGGGGCTTTATAAGTTTGGTTGACCAGAGGAGAAATGATTCTTATGACTTCTGAGCGATTGAAGCTCGTTCCACTGGCTGGAAAAATCTTCACTGTCAATATTAGAGGGTTTCCTGGACTGAATTGAACATTGGAAATGGCAACTGATCTTGGTGCCAGGCTAAGGTTCTGCATAAGCGTTGACTCCAGAAGTTGGAACATCGTGGGGCTTATGACATCAGAGAAGGCGGGTGCTTGGAAGATCATCAAACCCTGAAAGGGATTGGTGCATGCACAGTTCTGTGAAGTGACTGGACTTGCTGACTGATCAAAGGGGCATGGAATGGCAGCACATGGGCCAAGGTTAGTGGCATATGGCGCTTGCAGCTTTTGCTTGAGTGTGCAGAAACTAATGTTATCCAAACATACAGGATTCTCTGTTAATCTGGATAAGAACAAAAACCATGATGGCTAAAAAAACGCATGGCGGTAAGCATGCAAGCATTTAATCATTTCTGTTTGAGAGGACAATGCTTACATAAGGCTGTTGCTGTAACCCGTTACATTCGCTTCGATGATTTGATTAGATGTCAAATTAACAACCCGCAACTGCGAGCTGATGTTACCTGTCAGATTAAGTTTCCCACTGAACGCGTTCCTAGCTAGTGATCTGCATGACAAGTTGTGACATCGCAGAATGCACAACAAATTACTCAGTTGAACTCTTTAGATATTCAAGGGAATCATGGAACAAGTCAATAATGAATTACACTTGCTGCAGGTTGGGGAGACTGAACATAGCACTAGGGATTGTCCCATTAAGATCATCATTATCCATAAATCTGCATATCCAACCAGAAAATTATCTGTATTATAGTTTTACATTTAATTGATTTCGTTAATCTTCAAAAACTCACATGGTATTTAGGGATGTCAACGTTGAAAACCATCCTGGTGCTGGCGAGCTTGCAAAGTTATTATTGCTTAGGTCTCTGCTTAGATAAAGAAAAAATTAACCTCAGAAAACAAATCTTTAACTTGAATGTGGTATATTTTTCTTACACATAATCTAGCTGGGTTACATCAGTGAGATCCGGCACGGTCCCGTTCAGTTGGTTGTTTGCTAAACTCCTGCAAGAAGCCAAGAACCATAAGGGATATTTGCAATGTAATTTTCTAGTATCATGAAATATCCGTTGGTATTCATTGAAATTTAGTTACTTACAGTTCCATCAGGTTACTTAGGGCGGCAATACTATTGGGAACTGGACCGCTGAACTGGTTATGATCTAGTTGGCTGGCAACAATTGTGAAAATGCTCAAAACACTGTGCAAGATTGATGGAGAACATGATTTATCTGGTACTTACATTATTTGAAGTGATTTGACTTTTCCAAGAGATGCTGGGATTGGTCCAGTAAAGTTGTTATTATTAAATATCCTGGCGACGGTTACAGAAAGCAGTGACATACTGTGGTGACAGAAATAAATAGAGAGTTGCTATTGCAAATGAGGAACACAGCTTACACATGTATAAGGTTCATCTTGTCACTGAAAAGGCTTTCGCTCATCGGGCCTGTCAACTGGTTCTCACTGAAGTGGCTGTTGATTGCATGTATGCATCCGTACCCATTTAGAACATTTAAGCTACGGTTTTTGTTCTTTTTATGCTAGAGTTGGTAAAACATTTGAGAACTTACAAATGCCTCGTGTTGACAAGTTGATTCAACCCTGGAGAAACTGGTATTTGTCCTGACAACTGATTTGCTGACATGTCCAACCAGAAAAGATTTGAAAGGAGGCCAAGTGTTGGTGGAATTCCACCAGTGAAGTTATTTGAGTTTAGTGCCCTGCACAAGGAAATAGTTAACTGAATTCACATGACAAACAGAATATTGTCCGTTTTTTATTTTCTTCTGAATTTGAGTGACTTCTTACAGGAATGTGAGCTGTGATAAGTTGCCTATTTCTTCCGGGATATTCCCTGTGAACTTGCATCCAAGCAAAATCCTGAGAGAACCAAGATAGGTCAACGTTCCTCCTCCTTTTTGGTGATCTTTGCAGATCCCTCAAAAAAAATAGTGTTGTCATGAAATGTTATTTCTTACAGAGTGGTGAGCTGCTTCAGATTTCCAATATTTGGAGTAAGTGGACCCCCGAGGTTTTGGTTGTTAGACAGATCCCTGCATGTAGTTTATGGCAGTAGCTTAACGTATGTTTTCTCTTCTGTTGATCCCTAGGTAAACTGGTAGGTTGTAGCATCTAACTGACTGTAGTTCTATGTTGTGATAAGATTTCTTGAGAAAATACGTAAGTATTATTGTTAGTTAAAGTGAGTTATTTTCATTCCGAGGACAGTGGACTCACAGATATTTCAAAGCAGATAGTTGGCCTATGGCATTGCTTAATGTACCTTGCAGATTCATGCTTGCTAATCTCCTGCAAACACCAGGTTTCATCAGAGCGTTTGATTATTTGTTAAGAGAAGAAGGTTTATTGAGCACTCACATTTCTGTCACCCGACCATTGGAACAGGAAATTCCAACCCAGGAGGTGCAGGGATCGGTTGAACCTGTCCAGCTTTCTGGTTCATTTCGCCAATTATTCATCAAAGCCTTAAGTGCAGCAACTGTAGAAATCATTAAGCTAACATTAGTTGATAATTTCTTCATTAATAACTCTAGTAGTTGATTAGTTCTTAGGATCGTAAATTCATGTGAGAGGAATATATGCAAGTACCATTTCAAGGAAGTCAGAGAGTTAAGCCTAAGAAAGAAAATAGCAAGGAAAAAAGGGAACACTGTTCAGTGTTAAGCTTTATGTTTTATCATGAGAACATACTTCATACATAACCATGACTTTCTGAATTTGTTCCATTTGATCTTGTGGATTTGATTACATTACAGTTCTGCACAACCTTGACTAATGAACTGATGCAAAAACATTAATTCAAAGGTAACACAAACTGACTTATGCCGAAAAAATCTTCTTGTTTTGTTGAATAGAGATAATTCTAAAAAGTTCAAGACAGCCAAATTTAAAATGAACAAACTTTGATGTAACTGAATTAGGTTAAATATTTTTTTATCTGGTGGTGACTAATGTTCATTGTAATCAAAACATTCTCAGATTATCATCCTGGTAGAACTAATCTAGCTGAACATTTTTTTCAGGTCAACAGGCACTCTGTGGATAATTCTAGCCTAAAAAGATGGCAGCATGCTTCCTATATCCTGATCAAATGCAAAAAAATCAAGGCTTACCATCTTGGGAGTTCGTCTGACTGAAACTTGGCCGGACATATACCAAGAGCAAGAACAGAAGTAGCAGCTGCTGCATCGCCACCATGCCTTGCTCTTCACGGCTAGGCCTCCACACAAGTTGCAGCAGACCACAGCTAACTCTGATGGCTATCTTTGGAGAAGTCTATGCAATGAGCTAGCTAATGGACAAGCCAGCTGCTACCAAATAGCGTTTCAAGCAAAACAATCTTGCATCACCAGATTCAGAAGAATCTCTGGTCAATTATTGTATGGGCCGGTTACGGGGTCCAAGCAATGGATATGCTCATAAGAACGCACGCATGCAAGGGTATGGGAGGCCTTAAACAAGGCTACAAAGAGCACAGTTGAACTGATCAAAACATGAAATGGTTGAAGAAAAATGTTTCTGTATTCCTAGTTGGTAGTGGGGCAGTTGCTTCTTGTCCTCATCGGGGTAAAACCTTAAACATTGCTCCTTTCTAAGCTTTGATTCGGTCATGGTTATTAGTTAACTAGATTAATACGGCCACAGGTTGGACTTTTGCGACATAGGCCCACACTTCAGAAACGTGTTATGCTGTGCAACTGCTGTATTTTTTTTCCCGTTGTGCAGGTAAGAGCCAAATGAGATGTGCATTGGACCTGGGCCTAGCTGCTAGCTCAGATGATGTGGACTTGGCATCATGACAAGGATATTACGTAAGGATGCTTTGAGTCCCCTTGAATGTACCCATTGTTTGACCATGAATTGGTTTGTCCTTGGGAAACCTGATTATTCATGCCGCTCTTTTAGCCGAGCAGTTTTTGGTTTTTAGACCCGGTTTTGCCATAAAAACAGGATCAACTCAATATGCGCGACAATGTTCTTGCCCTTTTGAAAAATAAATGATGATTAAGCAGGGTTTCTCTCACTTGCACAGACACTAAAAGCTTCAAAGGAATGTCAGAAAGAATGTGCAGACGATTGCACTGCTCTTCTGGAATCCTTGGAAGTTTGCAAACACTTCGGTTTAAACCTGGCTCTAACACAACGTGCTTATTTAAACACATTTGGAAGGGTCTGACTGTTCTCTCTCTTTTCTTCTTGAGTGGAGGCGCAAATGATTATGCCATTTGTTCACTAATAGAAAATGGGTCCGATGTTAAAAAAAAAATGGTCCGGAAGGGCAGGTTTTGGATGCACTTGCTCAACTGGCTCCTTTGTCGGGATTGCCGAAAGCTTGCCAGGCAGATAAGCTTTTGGTGCATGATGTTCCAGAAAATGCACATAAAGGACGGCTTGCACACAGAAGGTTCTTTCTGCACGGAGCCAAAGTGTGGCCGGCAGGCTGATGCTTGCACAGGCCGATGAAAAGATTTCTGGATAGAAATTGTCCGTCTTTTATCCCGTTCTTTCAATGCGTGATTGCAATTTTCTATTATTCTTGATCGCCACTGAGCCCGTCGTATATGTTGCCTTTGCAAATGTTGGTGAACGGAGTCTGGCAGTACCTTTCCCGATGAAATGCGATTCTTGGACGGATGAGCGGATGAACGGTCAAAGGGAAAGCCAGATGCCGTTTACTTCTCATCTTAACAACTTCAATGATTTTGGAACAAGTTTAATTTGACTGCTCTACTCAATATATCCTGAATTCCTGGAAACACGTGAATTATGTGCGGCGGGGAGTATGGCCGAGTCCATCTCATTTCTAGACTGAGTTCAATTTGATGGACAGAACTTGTCAAACCAAAAGGGCTGATTGTGCACGACAATGTCTAGTTCCACCCAAAAGACTAGTTTTAGGAATAATATGGTTTACAAAACTAATCAAAATTCACATCCAAACACCTCATGATTTTGCAAAGCCATGATGATTTTTTAAGCGAATATCCTGTTTGGGTATTTCAATGGAAATACCCTTTGGGGTGTTTAGAACTCCGAAAAATAGTGCCTCGATTGAGTTAGATCAGGTAGCTAACTAACTGGAGAATGTGATCAAGGTGCGACCGGCCGGTAAGAATTCCAGAACAAAAGTGCAGTTCGGCAGATTATTGTAGAATTGGACCATGGAAAGATGGAACAAGTGTGAATTTGTTCCGCACATTTTGCCTGGCCAGTCGCCATCCGTAGAGCCCTAATATGACACGCCAAAATTGGAGGATCCCCCAGGTCAAACGCCGATAAATCACCTGGAATCGATCGATAGCTGCATACTTTGACGCCAGAGCCAGAGGGGCTGGGCACGAACGGCTGGGGCGACGAGCGGAACTTGTCAAAATGGCACGAGGTCACCGAAGGGGTACGTAGAAACTCACTGACGAGTAGTATATACTCCCTCCATCCTAAATTGTAAGTCATTCCAAGAATCTTGGAGAGTCAAACTTTTTCAAATTTGACTAAAATTATAGAGAGAAACACAAAGATTGATGACATCAAATAGGTATAATATAAAAATATAACTAATGAAGAATCTAATGATACTTACTTGGTATGATAAATATTATTATTTTGTTATATAAATTTGGTCAAACTTGAAAAACTTTGACTCTCCAAGATTCTTAGAATGACTTATAATTTGGGATGGAGGGAGTATTATACAATACACCAGCAATACTGCTGAGGGCCCAATTTTTTTTTCAATTTAGCCCTTTTTGTAAAATATTTACGTTTACACCCTTGGATGCCGTAAACCAAAATTTAGACTCTGGGGTCGGCACTATGAACCACGGCACTGGAAACACATCTCGCTATAGGTCATGGCGCAGAGGTGCGTGGCCGGGGATAGCGGAGCAGCCGAGGTGGCGCTAACGTAGCTGGTACCTCGGCGCCACGGATCTTGGCACCGAGTTTGGCGCCATAAACCCTAGCGCCGAGCTCGGATTCAAAAGCCGCGACCAAGTTTTCCTGGCTGAGGCTTCTTTCATTTGTTACTCCTTTCTCTCGGGTTCTTTCTCTCCCTAACCCATCCAATCTCTTGAATCGACGAATTTGACCTTGAAAACTTTGATTTGATCCATAGACCTTCGAGAGCAAGGTATCCTCTCTTCCCTCCTCATTTTTTACGCATTGATTTGGTATATATTATGTGTATTTTGCAACTATAGGTACATCATTACTTAGTGTTTTAAGCAATTATTAATATTTGTATTATGCAATCGTAGGATGCCAAGACGTGGTAAATCTAGTAAACCAAGGTAATCTTTGTCCATCGTGTTATGTTATGGGTTTATTGATGTGCAACAAATAAAAACCCTAAGTTTAGGATTTAATGTTCATTGCTTTCGGTATTTACAACGAAATTGGTTTAATTATAGGAAGGGTATGTTGACGGAAAATGCATTCGACCCATTGTCTCTCCCCTTCCTCTCCCAATGCCAAAACCCTTCCTTCTGGACGACCCTCCAGACATTCCTACTCCAACGAAAGCAAATATTCGTTGAGAAGTAAGTAGCAATGCATCCAGCATTGCGTATATATAGGCGGAGGCAAGTTTAATAGCCGTTGTATTGTGGAGTAAATGCTCCTGAAAAGCCTACTTAGTATCATTGAAAAGCCTATTTCGAAGGACAATGAAAAGCCTAGATTTGATTACTGAAAAGTCTATTCGGCAGTGTACGATAGGACGGTGACATGATAAATCATTGAAAAGACTAGATGCTATAGGTGTACTGCACATATGACAAGATAAATAGCTGCTGTCATTCTGTTAGGATCAATATTTATTTACTAGCCAAATTTACACATGATGATTGATTGTCTCTGAGAATTAGGACAATATACAATAATTAGCACTTATAAATTCATCTGCAAAGCTTGAGTACGATTTGATTGGACAACACACGTTGTAATGAATTTATAGGTACGGGGCCTGTTCGTTTGGAGGAATCTGAGAGAATTTGTGAGAGCGTACAGTGAAATCCGGCTGGTTTTCATAGCAGCCGAACGCAGCCACGATCGTATTTGCAATCAAATCATCTTACAAGCATCCACAGTTACAATATGACATCACAATACGATACAAACATGTATTCAACCATCTAGCTAGTATGCACAACACGAAAGTTACTACAGGTATATTACACAAAAATATCTACCCACATTATCTCACAATCTAAATTGGCCAAAGAACTAAATTACCTAGCTAAATAATTATCTAACTATCTAACTACCTATCTAAACATCTAACTACAATTTCTAACTACATTTGCTAACTAAATAACTATCTAACTCAATGACGGACCTAGGTTTTTACCTCTGGGTATGCGCAGCAAAAAATTTTCTTATGCAATTCGGTAAACCATATATAATTTGGTAAAACCATATTCTCATTCGGTAAAACCATATTCTAAAACCATATAAATTGTTCAAATGAAATACAAAATACTTTAAAATATAGCCATATAAGAGACTTACAATATTACTTGTTGATCCGTCGCTTTCTCAATGACATGAATGTCTCAATTATATCATCTTCATCAACTTGAAAGAAAATATCCCGCTCAATAAATGTTTGTAGACAATCATCCAGAACAATATCACCTAGCTTATTCCTTGATTTTGTTTTCACTATAACCAATGCAGAAAATACCCTTTCAACGCTCGCAGTTACCACCGGTAAAAGCAATACCAATTTGAGAAGCGAGTACACCATATCATACACTTTGTGCCTATTTGTATCAACAAGCTTAACTGAGAGATCAACAATGTTGTCTAGACCTTGGAAGCATTCAGTTCGTTTCATGTCATCAATATAATTATCAAGTTGCAATTCTAGCTGTACCAAATTGTTGTTGGAGAAGTCATTAGGATAAAATTCAGCCAATCTACGCAGCTTCTGTGCATCAAATGAAGCAAAGGACTTGGAAGGACTAAAGGCTGACATACAAGAGAGTAGCTCCATGTTGATCTCATCAAACCGATTATCAAGCTCTTGACTAATTTGATCAATGACACCAATGTACACTTCTCTTCTAAAATGGTCATCATTTTTTTGGTTTCGAGCACGGGCATACCTTGCTGATTTTTCATAAGGTACATAAGCATCATCCATAGCAGGAACTTCGACACCATGTGTAATACAAAAAGAAGTGACCGTCTTATGA